CCAAAAACACGTCGGAATATGTCATAAGAACCCTCTCTTTGAGGAACGCTCTTGATGATGATCTCTATGATCATTGAAATCATCAACGCTCCAAGTCCAACAGCATTTGGGACTATAGTCAATGAGGCCAAACTAGATCCCAAGTTAGTGATGAAGTCCGGCACCATACCAACCTGCAGATTAGAGAAGGTCTGCAGCACAGTGTTGGAGTCAATGCCTGAATATTTCAGCAGGGACTCGTCTATGCTGACGTCTGGTAGGGTGCATGGGTCCTGTAGAGCAGTGTTATAATATTCAAGAGCAAACATGTCATAGTCTTTTTTTGAAAAAGAGTCACCCATGTTTTACCACTCAGTCTTTGAGACTTAACGTACAAATGAACCAAGAACAGACTGAACACCAGATAATTCAGAGTCTATATCAAATCAGCTCATCCCCTCAAATAATACCAGGAGGACAACACAGATAACCAACCAGACCTCTGGAAAGTGAGGCGTATTTGTTGACTTTTCTCCAATGTCCCCTTTTGACCGAGGTTCATAACTTGTGCTCTCTGTATCTTTGTGTTTCATTTGGTGTTGAAATGCAAACAATATCAAATATCTGTAGAGAGTTTCTTGATGTGTTTTCAGCTGTGATCACATTAACATTGACTGATGTTTACCACTCTGGATATTCAGTGGCGCCTCATGGATCAACATCTGGATGTGGAAGGAGGCTTGACTGATTCTTTTTCTGATCATTTCTTCCAGTGTAGGAGAAGAAGACATTTTAAAGAAAAAAAATCTAAGGGTTAATGAACCAACTGAGTAAAGCACTCTAAAGACGTTAATCATTTGACATAAAGCAGAGTATTTCACAAGTCTTTAAGCATGTCTGCAATGTGTCTACGTCCAGTACACCATCATTTCATAACAAGCACAGAATGAGTCAGGATGGAGAAAAATCTAAATCATGTAACTCTGATCCTCAAGGTGTCGAAAAAGAGCTCAAACATGTAGACCAAAAGATAAGAGGAAATAATTTGTTTGCAAAGACAATTATGACAACTCCCAATAATCTTCACATCAGGAGGTGAATGAACTGAAAACACAATCTAACAAATTTTTACCGTTTTTTATACACAGGTCAAATTAGACTGCGTACCACCACAGGGATCATTATCAGTTATCCACTTATGATCTGAGTAACAGTTCTGCTCGTAATTACAAATATAACACGTGTAGTAGCATGATAGAAAACCGCTGCACACAAGCGCAGAGAGAGTGAATCTCATCTCACCGATGTAGACCATACTTTACAAAAAATCATCATATTTTTGACCCGGGCATAAACACAGACCGGAACAAAGACTGCCAAGGACACTGACTGACACAGACACACACAAACACATTTTGCATTGCACGTGCATTATAACCCCCAAGAACAAGCACCAACACCCAAGGTCTGATACTGTACACACACACACACACTGAGCAGAGAATAGCTTTGAGAGGCAGGAAGCACGCTGCATCCTGAAGATAACATCAAGGTTCACAACAAAGAGATCCTCAGTGTCGCTGCACACTACGTAATGTTTACAGTGAAACAACACAGGACACTTCTCTTAATGCATTATTTGTTTTTTCACCTTTCTTTATGAGAAGTGGTGATATGTGTGAATAGAATAAAGGAAACAGAAAAAAGAACATCAAAAATGTACAGATCTTTATATGTCACGCTGCTATCTGGCTTGGCTTTGTCGTTCTTCTTCTGTGATACTAATTTCCCACATAATAGGAGTAAAAATACAAATAAAAACTAAACGATAAAGCAGTGTTAATGACACTTTAATCATTTTTAATGTAGGGCTCATGTGCACAGACACTGGCAGCGTGTCTGTGGACATGAGCCCAAATCTTCTGGAATAGCGCCACACTCGCCAATGTCACTTCTCCCTCACCGACCATTTAAAATCCAGAATGGGCGGGACTTCTGTGATCAGCAAATTTGTCAACACCAATGGAGGACTCGGACCTGACTCGTCTTTTCATGAACACAACATTCAGGCCTTCAGCTGATGCTAATGCTTCAAAAAACTAAAATATTAAGCACACAGAGTTATTAAAACACACCGAACTGTGATTACCAAAGCAAGTGGAGGTTTACTTTGTAACCTAGCAACAACAAGCACTGATGAGAAGCGCTCTGTAACTGAGGTTGTGAGGTCTGACGGCGCAAAAAGCGCGCAATTTTTTCATGAATAAAAAGAAGATTATCCATGCTACATGTATGCAAACTGCTCTGATCCTCCATCCACTGGGGTAAAAAACACTCCACAAACACACCTGTTGTGTAACTTTCCCGTGTCGATCTCGAGGGAGAACCTTGACCTGCTAACAATGCCTGGACTCCTGCCTAACTGGCTTTGAACATCAGTTGACTGGAGGTTCAAAGAGGAGCACGGGTAGGAGACACCTGTGTCAGGTTACACAGGAAAGGAAATACTGCAGGTGTCCTATCTCTACCTTTTACCTGCATGGTTCATAGGTCCCAAACCACTTGGTCTGTAAAATATCTCAAGTTTGAATCTTTTCCCTCCCAAACTATCTCTGTGGGAGTTCAGCATACTTTCAAAGACAGGTACCTGCAGGCTACTGTAGGTGTTGTTATTGATAGGTTTTGCTGTTATGACCTCTGGTAGGTTATTTCCTTTAGTATTTCTAGCTATCACAGCAGGGGGACGCACCATTTCACATCAAAATAAAAATGTAAAAATGTTCTAACATATGCATACTGTACATCAAGACAGGATGATGAATAGAAGTATGATGGGATTTTTTTTGCTCTAAATCATTACTTTCACATGTGAAGGATAAAATCAGCACAGAGATAAAGAGCGTAGGCCTATTTAGTATATAGTCGGTTGGCATGGCAACAAGTAAAGGTTTGTGTCTTGCAGCAGCAGCTCTGTCAAAGTTTTCATCTGAAGTCATGGTATAAAGTTCACACTGAACTCAGTAACTTCAAACTGAGGTGGGCGCCATCACACACTTCACGGGGTTGTGTTTACGTTATCAGCTGTAAAAACAAAACGGTTTCCGAGTCGCAGCAACTTACTGTCATGAGAAGCCAGTGCAGCCTGAAACAGCCTTCTTCTTCTTTTTGATTAATTGCGGGTGGCAACTAACTTTAAGGTGCATTACCGCCACCTACTGGAGCGTGACCCAGAATACCTATTACTATTACTACAGCCTGCTCTCAGCACAGAAACATTAAAGAACTGTTTTGAATTGATTCAACAGTTTATATTAGTGTCAATAGATCTGTGCTCTTAAAACAGCTTTATTAATGAGCATTGTCCTTTGTATCGTTAGTTGTAAAAAACCCATTTCGCACCTCCTCTCTTCTCTGGTTCTCTTTTTCCATCTCGATCAAAGTTGTCTCATATACAAATAATGAAAAAAACATATTGCATACATTTAAACAGAAGCTATCAAGGTGTCTCTTTTGCTTTGCTTTCTCATTTCAGATACAGACTGATACATAGCAAGCACATTCATTTGGAAACATAATCATAATGAACAGCCAATCACAACCAAGTATTCAACCTGACTGTTGCATGACTATAAAGAGGGGGGTAATTGAGATATAATGGAAACTGATAAGGCAAAGTTAAGGGCTGATGTTAAGGCGGACCAACAAACCCATCACACATACTTAGTGAATAAACTTCCACAGAAACTCTGGGTTGACTTTGTGGAGTTCCTTCGTCACGAAAGCCAGTAAGAGTTGTCAAGTCTGAAACATGAGCAGGGCAGCTTGTGTTACCTCGTCTGCCCTACAAACATACACACAGCAGACTTTTTAATGCTTTGTGTGTCCCTGCTAACTCGAGTGTATCGATAACTCGCTCAGACCATCGGTCGAAGGGCTACGTATCCTCCAACATGAAGACAACTGTGCCACCATCTGAACATATTACTTACCTATCACCTGCGCCATCTAGCAATGAATCGCAGACGTTTCCAAAGTTCCATAATATGGTGTTGATTCTTAAAAACTGTATCCGCCTAAACCCTAGAAAAAATATCTCATAACACTTAAGCCACATTCAACTAACAAGTCCAGATAAACATCTTATATGAAGATACAGACAGTAAAATGATTTCCACAATCGCTTGAAGTCATGTTTTCTCATGACAAGCGATTCAGGCCTTACTTTTAGCTTGAAATGACATGTCTGTATCTTATTAAGTACATCTTATTTCAAAACACTTAATTGAGGAGCCAAATGGCTATTTGACTTTAAATTAGACAAATACACTTGCTAAGATTTTTGCAGTTCAGCCAAGAAACAACAGATATGTGCTGATACAACTGACCAGTTCAAATCTTTCATTTCGTCTTTGTTTAGATAACACACACAGACCTTCTATTTCAGGATTTGTATTGTTTTGGGACATCATTGTTTTTGGGACTTTTGGGACATATACCTCTCCTTGGAGTGTTTTATTCTCTCGCATTGTTAATGTTTGGCCTGTGACCCAGACTCAGGCCTGACTTCCTGTCAGGAAGACACACTGTACAGTAGCTAAGTGGGGAAAGAGGATCCCTCTTGAGTTATTTACATACTGGTCTACAGACAGCCAGCAGACCTTACTTCACTCACCTATTAGCAACCAGCAGAAGGTTTAGATCGATGATTTATACGAGACAAGAAGTCATGTTGGATGCTTATAGAAGATTTTGAGTTTTAAGTTGGTTGATTGGTTAAAGTTATATTTTTGGGCAATCTTTGCCTTTACTGGGTAGGATGGATGAAGAGGGACGGGAAACGTTGGGAGGACAGATTGGGGGAAGACACACAGTGAAGATCCGAGGCCCGGTTCGAATCAACAGCTGCTTCAACAAGGATTAACTTCTGTACATGGGGCACGTCACCAATGTACAGAGGCAACCGCCACCAGACATCAGAGAATCGAAAAGAAAATGGCTGGATGGATGGACCGACACTTCAACAGCTTTTCACTTCCTTTTTTTAATTAAATCCTAGAGTGTTCAATTTACAAATTAGGACCAACTTTTAACAGAAAGTTCACATTCTCCAGTAAATAACGGTAAAAATAAAAATAACAAACTTTCAGAAGTCATTCTTAAACAAAAAAAACCCCAAACTCCTGACCATGAGTTTATGTATTAGGCCTCTAGAAACAAAATAATGTACAACAATAAAACAATAAGACATGAGCAGTTAACAAAACACATCAAAATAATTGATCACAAGGTCAGTTCTTATTGCTTAGGTGACGACAGCTCTTCTGTTGGAGATCCCTGTAGTGCTGTGAAGAAAGACTGCTGCACATCAGCACCTTTCATCACAAAACATAACTCAAAGAAAACTACATGTTGACAATAATACAGTTACTCATAACCATGTTGAACGTGTTTAAACACTCTGTACAAATGTACATATTCAAAATATGCCGAGGAAACACTCCTCTGTATTGATTGTGTGAAGCCCTTCACTTGGGACACGTATGTGTGTCGTTTTCCAGCTGAGTCATGACGACAGCAGCAGGAACATTTACATTATTGGGCTCCTGCTGTTACGCACAATGAGCTTTATTCCCTGTAGTCGTCAGGTTTCAGACAGGCATGTCTTTATCAGCACTCAAGTCACTGTGATTGTAAACCTTAAGGCAGGATGATGAAGGCACGTGGTATATACACTATAATACAGGAGTGTTACAGGAACCATTCAATCCCAGTATAACAGGTCAAAATGAAAAGAAAGAAACGGATGTAGATGTTTTCCTAACGTCCTGGGCTGCACTGCATCTCTTTCTTCTCTCATTTAACACATTTCTTACACAACAGAACGATCAGAAAACCAAAGCGGAGTTTGACATTATAGTCCGACTGAAATTAAGAATTTGTTCATTCATTTGGACAGATCGGTGTATACTCAAAACAGTCTGGTACAATTGTCCCTCCTCCCTCCTTACATTGTGTATGAACTTTGGGCTGTGATAAAATCACTTATTATCAATGCTATGGTACACAAGCTAACCTTTAAGGTTGGAGTGCAGGACCTTTTCCATGTATAGAAATGAACGTCTGTTACATTCAAGCTCTTTCCAAACAAGACCACACGAGACTGTGATCAAACCAACAACCACCAGGTACATCTACCTGTACTCCTCAGTACACTGGACATTTTAAAGCCTCTTAAAGTTTTGGCTTAAAATTAAAAAATAAAAACACATGAATGATATCAAAGTTGAGAGTTCACAAAAATTTTGGTGAAAAAAATGTTCATAAGAAATTTTAGGTGAGACAAAGCGGCGACCTCTTGTGTTGAAAAAATGAAGCCAATGCGGAAACGCACGACTGCAGTTCCACGAGTGTCCACTTGAGGCTGGCATCAAAAGCCAAGGAATCGCCATCAACACTCATGTAAAAATGCTCATTTTCACAGCAGACACAATCAATTTACTGGTTTTGAGTCAACAGCTCGTTTCTAAATCATTAAAACTTTATGGGGTGATTATCTTCTCTTCCTGTTTGAGGATATATACGCTAAGGAATTAAGCATTCATTTACATAAATATGGGCGTGGCTGAGATGACTGACAGGTGGGTGCTTTGTAGCCATTTGCCAGGAGGCTCCATCAAACTCCTCCTCTTTACCTTTGTCTACATTGAGCGAAACTTAGCGACCGCCATCGTTCTCTCCTTCAGAAACCCGATGGGTGACGTCACTGAGACCACATCCATAATTTATACAGTGCAACGTTAAAACCAGCTCATTTCTCAAGACTTTGTGGGCTTGGCAGTTCATCTTTTGATTGACATCTGCTTTGGTGTGACACACAATTCGCAGAGTCTGGCCCTTTCAATTTTTGTCACCTGATTCAGTATGATTCAAGTTAAAGGAAAAGTAAATGTGTGATTTTCTTTCATGTTTTTGTGTAAACTAAGACCCCTCAAGGAGTCACAGCCCTCCTGCATTTGTAAACTACCTTACATGATGACATAGGCAAAAATGGTTTCAAGAATAACAGGATAACTGAGCTAAAGAGCCTCCGCGCCATCATTGCTGTAATTACATGATTTCCATCAGTGGGAGGAATTCAAGAGCTCTATGAAAACATTTCTTCGTGGACTCTAATAATGTTTGGTGACAGAGTATTAGCATTAAAACATCTCATCCTGCTTTCTTTGAACCATCAGAGGTAAAATGTAAACAAAATGTGTTTGGATGTGCTGTTCGATTGGTCCAACCCTGCAGCAGTGTAAAGTCAGAGAAAAGTTCATATATAGAAATATTCCATCTTAATGTGTACGGTCATGTTTGCATTTGTAGGTCATAAAGAAGCCTCTGAGTTATTTCAGCCACTTTCATATCAAGATGAAAACTCCTCACAAGAGCTTTAAAGATGTAATGTTTTGAGACTAAAGTCATAAGATTACAAGATTGGAGTCATAAGAAAAACCATTTCAAGGTAAAAATAAGATTACGAGAATAGTGAGATTAATTTAGGATATGGTTAGCCCATGTACTATTATGAAGGGGGAATATCAGGAGAGCAGCTCGCTGACTGTTTTTTATCTATTCTTATCCTTAAAATGAAATAAAAAAATACATGTTCCCGGTTTTAATCTGTAGTTCTGGTATTAAATGTTAATTTGTCTGCCAATTATAGTCACAACACGGCAGATCTCATATGCTCCCCTGTTCACCTCTCATGTCGTCACTCTATGAAACCTGAAGAGAAGCTTTGCACGATCTGCAGCTCAGAAACCTCCTGATGTATCTGATACTGGCGTAAATTTCAACCTCTGCCTGAAACGGTTTGTTTCAAGCTGCTGTCTCTTTAAGGCCCCTCCCCACGTGCCCACTGTCTTCTGATTGGCCAGCTCTCTGTAAGCCTTCCGGGGGGCACAACGCTGCAGGGCTTCCAGGGGAGGGCTGCTCTCCAGTGCTGGGAGAAGAGAGTCCATGTTAGAGGTTTCACCAGCTTACGCAGAGGCTTGACGCCGTCTGGTGAAATTCTTTGGTTCATATCGGGGAACTATCACGTAAATAGAACAAGCCGTTCAGCGCCCTCTGCAGACTCATCCTGCGATTACAACATACGTTTCCATAGTAAAATGTAGAATTTAAGTTTAAAAAATGTTTTAAATGCTCCAGCCTCCTAATTTTATTGCTAGCAGATGGCTGTTCTTCTTAAATGCTAATGTACTATATGCTACTCAAAATAGCATTTAGGCTAACCATGGCCTTATCTCATAATATTAAGACTCCATTCTTGAAATAATATGAATTTATTATTTTAATTTTACAACTTTCATCTAAAAACCTCAAATGTATTTTTCTTGACTGTGACCCGAACAGTCGCACGTTTGAGACAGAAGAGAGGAGACGGCGGTTTAGTTGGAGGTCTTGAGCTCGAAGCGGCTGTAAACCTGCTTGGATTTCATCTTGTTGTAATGGTTCACCAGGTCCAGCTTGCTGTGGCCCAGTGTCATTCGTTTCTGGTCCTGCCTGTTCATCAGTGTGACAGGAGAGGGAGGGGGCGGGGGACTCTGCTGGCTCTCCGGCTCAGCTTGAGAGAGGTCCGGCCCCCCCCAGGTGGTGGTGCCGTGAGGGGACGGGGACCTCCGGAAGTTGTAGGCCTCTTTGGAGGGGGGCAGAAAGAAGTCTGAGAGTTTGTTGAGGAGCTGGTTGGGGGGAGCCCTCTGTTTGGGGGGAAGTTTGCTGTCATTGATGGGGGAGGGGTCTGTGGTTTTGGGTTCATGTTTGAGTTGGGGGTGCCTGGGACTAGCCCGGTGTTGTGGAACAGGCTCGATTTGTGGTCGTACAACCCCAGCCCTTGAAACTTAGAGGAGGTGCCTCCGATGTTTGAGCGCATGACGTCCGCGTTGGACTTGTTCCAATCAATGCCCATTTGGTGACCGTAGGGGGGCGGCGGTCTGTCCATCACCGGGCTGTGATTTGTTCCTCCGTTAGCTTGGCCTCGTGGTCCTGGCGTGATGTGACCCTGAGGCGTCGGGGTCAGGCCTCCTGCTCGGTCTGAGCCTCCCACTCTCCTCTCAGGGCTCAGGTGGGAGTTGCTGCTGGCCTCCTTCTTGTCGTGACTCTGGGTGACCTTGTAGACTGTGTTAGAGGTCATCCCGGGTGCCGCCTTCACACTTGACACGCTGTTACTCGATTGGCTGCTGGAATTTTCAGAGCAGACCCTTTCCCGCTGCCGGCTACACAAGTAGATGGGGGGGGAAAGAACGATAAGCGTTAAAACAATGGGGACATCAGGTACGTACAAATAAATTACACAACATAAAAAGCATCAAACAGTTAATACTGGAGAAACACCAGCGAGGGTCCATTTAAAAACACGGTATGTGTGATGTGGATGTAGCCACCGTCACATTATTCTGCAGACTGATTCATGAATAAAATAATGACGACTAAATTCTGTTTCCAATTTATTCAGGGGGAAGATTGTCTCTGGTGGTAAATGGGATTATGTCAATATGAGCTTTTGAAAACTTAAAGGAGGACATATTCTCCCCCTCCTCCACCTTTTCAAACAGTCCCCTCCTCCACCTTTTCAAACAGTCCCCTGTGGTCTAAATGAAACATCTGTGCTGTGCTTTGGTCAAAATATAACATGAATCAAGCACCAGAGGAGGTTTGTGACCCTGTATAAACCAGCTCTCTCAGAACGCTCCATTTTGGTGTGTGTGTCTCTTTAAATGCAATGACCCCCCCCCCCCCTGAGTTTTCCCAGTAGACATCACTCCTCTGTAGAGAGAATAAAAATGGTGGACCTGCAAAAGTTTTGCTTTAGTCTGGGGGTGGAGTCCATGGGTGGAGATACCAGGGGAGGGGAGGGAATTTTTTTTACCAGAATCCCACTGTGACATCACAAGGAGAGCACATTTGAAACGGAGCATTTTTCTCTGTGTTGTAAGACTTATGCAGACCACAAACAAAGGACTGGATGGGTTTATTTCACATGTTGTGGGTCAGTAGACTCTCAGGTTACACATATATGTTCAGAAACACTGTTGAAGAGGATTTTTCATAATATGTCCCCTTTAAAGAAACATTTCTCATCATTTTCATTGAAAAAGAGTAGACTCCTGCTTGGTACCTGTCAGAGAGTAAATCCAACCCCATGACCGGTCCGTGCCCCATGCCCATGCCGGGGGTCATGACTGCCTGGTATGACGGGTAATAAGGCATCCCCTCCTCCTCGGCGTTGTAGAAGCAGTCAACGATCTGCGAGTCGGCGTACAGGCAGCGAAATTCCCGGTCGAAACTGTCAGTGATGCGACCCGAGAAATGCATCACCATGTTGCTGTGCACCTGAGCCGACAGCCAGGTGAAACTAGAGAGGAGACAGAGGAGGAGGAGGAGGAGGAGTGAGAATACAGTGAGTCAGACCAAACAACCCGTGAGATCTGCACGTCCTGAGCAGCCTGTGATGTGATATTTAACTGCATGAGCATGAGACCAGAGAGAGATGCTTTTAGAAGCCACTGTGTCTTTAACTACATCATAGCTTCTGACTGTTTCTGTGAGGTTTGACCTTTTGTTTCTCTCCTGAGGAGGTGTGTTACGATGCTGCTGAAAACATCACATTTCCTGATGTGACTCTTTCACAATAAAAGCTTTTAAACATCATAATAAGCGGGGACACAGAACATCATTAACATCATTGAATTAACAGAGTTTTAGCTGAGCTACACTCAGCAGAGGTTATCAGTAACACTTTATGGAGTCACTGTATTTACTAGGGCTGTGCTCAGAAAACAAATTTTGGCAATATATCGTCGTGCTCCTTGCAAATACATCAATGCAGATGTAACAGAATCGATATGGCTGCAAAGCTGTGATGTGAAGACAACTGACAAATGGTGCAGTTAACAATAAAACCACAGCCACAGCTCTGGGATTAAAACATTTTAATGTATTTCTTCTATGTTTTAAGTTCTAGGATGTATTCATTCCAATTTCCTTGTTATGCTCTACGTCTTTTTTAGCGCCTTTGGCTTTGGGATTCTTGGTAAACAGAGACACAGCACGCTTCTTTTAATCATCTTGAGACTGGGGACAAACGAGTCATCAGTAAAGACACACATAGCAGCAGGTAGATCTGTTGTTGTTGTTGAGATGCAGTAAACACTGACACCCGCTCTGGCACAACGAGGAAGTGCTGCTGTTTGATCAGTGAGTGTGTAGGTCTGCAAGACTTAGCTTAGCGTCAAGAGTGAAACATGCCGAGGACTGGGGCTCAATCTGAGCTCTGATACTACTTCTATTTATCCACGACACTGGCTGCTAGGTTGAGCTATCTGTAGTATGAAATACAAATGTGTGTGTTTAAACCGGCAATTTTTTTTCATTCTTTGAAATGTAAACAGTGGTAACATTCAAATCTTCTGAGCTTCACATGTATGAGTCAAAGATGTGTTCAAAGTCTTGATTTAAAGTACCAACAAAAAGGAAATGTGTCACGCTGAAATGCTAAGAGAGCTGCTAACAACGTGTTGCACCACCGCCCAAAATAAATGGTTTTAATGCAAGTCCCATCTCTGACAAGGCAAACAGAACAATCACAAGCTGTTTTCACATGTGCACTCCTGAAAATGTCTAGTTAATGTCTGCAGGACTGCCCCTGAAATCCTCCTGATGTGGGCGTTAACACATGCACCTCACAGTGCTTACTAATATTCACACCTCCAGACGGCGCTCGTCCTTAACAGCAGACACCAGGCTGAGATGTCAAAGACGTTTTTCAATCGCGCAAAGTCACTAAAAAACACCTAAACTGCTCATATAGCCGCTTGAAGCAGATACTCTGATTCTCCCAAATGAGTGATAATAAGGAGCCAATTGTCAAGGTAATTAGAATAATAATAGTGGCTACAAAAATAACATGAAGTCATTATTATTCAAGCACATGTGCTTGAAGAACAAAAGCTACTGTGATCATTATGTTGTTAAAAGCTTACACTGCCCACACGCTGAGTACTCAAGTGTTAATCAGAAACAGTGAAAAGGAAACAGGCGGGGAAACTGTGAACCTCCTGCTCTCCTCTGTGCTCTGAACACTCAGCAAACTGTGCAGGGATCCGCTTCACTACGAGGGAAGTGTCTTCTTTAAAGTGGTCACAACCTGCAGAACTCCTCAGCCCTCTCATCAGGGAGTCCTCTAATGTGTAGTAAAATTATGAAACACACACGAACACACTACACAGCCTGTGTGTAAATTATCTCTCCTCCACCTCCAGCTGATAAACTGCAGATAAGCCTTCGACCACTTCCGGCTCTTAACATGAATCACTGCGGTGACTCATCAGATGATCGGCCAGCAGAGCAGACAGAGAGAATATTAACGCTGAGGAGGACACTGCGCCTTCATGGCTGGTCAGAGGATGCAGAGGGGAGGGTTGGGCCACCTTGTGTTTATGAGGACTGTTGGTGCAGCAGGTTGATTCAGAGCGAGCTACGTCACCTCACTCCAATAAAATGCCAACATGGCAAATGTCACTCTGCACCTTGGCCTTACATAACACCCACAGTTTGATTAGTAAAAGGGAAGATGTGCTTTAAAATATGCTATGTATGTATGCGCACATTACTGTGGATACACCCACTGGGTAGAAAGCTCTACTGAATGGCAGCGTTCAGTCTACTGAAAATAAAAAATAGAAAGAAAGGAGATGCTAACGGGTCACCGCAATGCAGAGAAACATCTGGAATCCAGACTCTGAAAGTGGATTCCTAGCTGCTATTTATTTACACCCTGAAAACAGATCAACACTACCCTATGCCCATGGGCCAAAAACTTTCAAGTGCCCCCAAAGGAAACTGCCACCAACCGAACCCACCAACACTCATTCTGATTGAGCCCACTACCAGTAAACCATCAATAAAGTAGAAGTCCATTCAGTGCTGTAATAGAGAAGGCAGCCATGTTGCAGGACGTTTCACCGCTCTGTTCGACGAGGGCGCTGGGTTCAGGTTTGTTCCATTGGGAAGCTTGTCATTCATTTGTGTATTGCAAGCTTTGCTGGGAAACTTGGGGCCTTCACGAAGCTGGCAGCGCCACTTTTTAGCATTTTTTTCCCCTCCCTCATGAGGTCATAATGTGGCAATTAAAGAAAATGATGCTATACTGTTCAGTAAATGAAGCTTGTGGAGCGCTGGTTTGATTGAACGTGATCAACAAGTGACCAGCCGAGGTGGGCAGCATGACACGAGGGACGAGGAGTGTGTACATCACCACTTTCACCGTGGGCTGAGAGCTGAACTACCGTACTGTAGCTAGTAGGAGAGCAAACTCCACAAAGTCAAAACAGATAGAACTGAAGAGCAACAGAGATTTATTTTTATTTAACCAGGAAAAAGTCTCATTGAAATTAAAAATCTCTTTTGCAAGAGCGTCCTGCAGGCCAAGACAGGCAGCAGCACAGTTACAGGGTTTCAGACATAAAACACTTAACAACAATGAACATAAATACAGGAATCTGCCTCCAGATCATTAAGACCACCTTTAAAAACATTCAAGGAAACCAGCTCCCGAAGAGTTAAAGTATCTTGCAACCGATTCCAAGAAGAGGGAGCAGCATACTTGAACGCCCTTTTTCCTAATTCCGTACGGGCTTTAGGGATGCTTAGAAGGTGTAAGTCCTGCGAGCGAAGATGGAAACTTCCATTACTTGCACAGATGCACAGACACTGCTTGTTGTAGACTTCGCTGAACACAATAGAAATCATCACGCAGGAAGATCGTTAAAACCTTTCTAACTCTAGGAGACCTCCAACATCAACGTCTTATACGACTTATATTCCAGATTTTAGGGTAACTGGAGGCGTGCACAGTATAAAAAAAAAAGGTGGAAAAGAAGACACCAGCCTGAATAAAATATTATGGAGCAGCCTCATTACTTTTCCTGCTCTTTCAAACATCAGCTCACCCTACAGGAAAAAAACTCCCCAGATATGTTGGAGGATTTGCGTCCAAACATGAGGCTCACCACAAAACTGTCAGGAAAGTTTCAGGAGCTTTGTGCATGTGTGAAAACAGCCGGTGTTCATGCCTTAACGTTGCAGATAGCTGGATTTTATAATGAGTATCTGAATGGAGACGGTAGCTGCATGTCTTTGGTTCATTCCAGTGTGCTGCATTTGCATGTCTGAAGAAGCATCTCACATCAGAAAGGACATAAATCAAACCCTCAGTGTTATCAAATGACCTGTTCAAACCTCACAGCTGCAAAACAGATTAAAGTTCTCTCATGTGTTCAATGTTTTCTGGGTGTAAGGCATTTAAGGCGCGCTGAGCTGCATGCTGAAACAGTGAGCTCGTTTCTCCGCAGCCAAATAAAACTGAGGAACCTGCAGGACGGCTTTTTTTTTAACGAGCGATAAATCACTCACGGCTCACGTTGGACACCTTTAAGCTTAAAGTGAAATCCACCAGTATGTCCCGAGGATCACCTGATCAGAGCACGCCTTCTCTGCATGAACTGAAAGTTTGTTTACAGGATGATGAGGAGAGACGGCGGCCCACAAGCCTGCGAGGAGGTCGTTTAATTGTGATGAGCCGAGTGTCACTTTACCAAATTACCTCACCACAGATTTGACATCAGACTTTAGAAGAATGGTATCAAATTTCACCAGCTGTTTCCTGTTTCCTGCTGCGTGACTCTGAACTCGACTGTCAGAGACTCTTCCATCATAGTCCGGATTAAAGTAGAAAGAGACTTCTAAAAATGGAGGTCGGTGCTCTCAGAGACAAACCTTAGACGTTCAAAATAAAGTTCAGTGGACTCCTTCTCTCAGGCAGAAAGTACGAGTCATTTAAGGCAGATTTATTTAGGTGCAAATGTTTCTACACTCTGCGTCGTCCTCAGAGTCAAACAGTGTGTTATATTAAACTGACCCGTGTGCTCCTTTACTTTCTCTGGATTCTGCCTGAGAAAAGGAGACCACTGTTATATTTTGGATTATAGTTGAAGGGTTCATTAAGCCTCAACTTAAAAACAAAAGAACACATTAAAGCTCTGTGAAAATACTGATTGGTTAACTACCAGTTTGAGCTTTTTTTTTACAAGTGCATAATCACATCATGTCACCGTTGCCATGTTGGCGGCATTTTGTTGTTGTTGTTGTCATTGAAACAACAACAACAATATGATTATTCAACTGTGCATATGGATGCAGGATGTAAATAATGACTCTACGTTTGTTTTTTTATTCCAGGGCTGTCAGCGTTAACGGGTTACCTGCAGACCGTCAAACATCTCTCTTTTTTTTTTTACCATTCCGATTCACAGATTTTATTTTTGATTCTTTACAAGTTTGTTTCTTCCGTGGTTAAGTTGATGTCCTAAGTACTAGAAATGTTTCAAAATAAAAGCAGGTTTGTATTTAAACCAGAAGTGAAGTACCAAAATTCAAAATAAAAGCAGGTTTGTATTTAAACCAGAAGTGAAGTACCAAAATTCAAAATAAAAGCAGTTTGAAATACAAAAAAATTGACTTTCAAACATTTTTCATTAACTATTGAAATTCAGTGGCGCCGGTAGCGTAGTGGTCAGTGCACACGCTCCCCATGTATGGAGCCTGTAGTCTCTCATTTCCTGCATGACATTCCCCTCTCTCTCTCTGACTCTGTCCACCGTCCTATCTCTAAATAAAAGGCATAAAAAGCCCACAATAAAATATTTAAATCAAGTGATTGATCAGTGTTGTCAAATCGGTTTGCCGAGTGATGCTAACGTTAGCCGCGCTCGTAGCACCAGCCCTCCCTGAAGGTGAACGTCCACACGTCTGTGCTGAATGTGGTTACACATCGCTCGGGTCGAGACGCCAGTGTAACCTGACGCAGCCAACGCACAAGTTCATCTCCATTTTCAAACCTTTTGTTTCATGAGCTGTCAGCCAATCACCACGAAGCCAGTATTCGCTTCTTAAATGTTCTCATGCTGTAAGTCTAACCCTCCCAGGTCTCACAGTGCGACGCGGCATCTCTTTTTTTAATGTCAGATTTATGTCTGCACCCGGCGCAGGAGGGGAGAGAGTGACGCGCTCAGATGATAAGACAACATCATATTTTGTCAGAAGCGTTTTGGCACCTCTCGGACCTCGCCCTTCATTCCTCAGTTTGTCAGCCTCGCCCACATTCACCTGAAACCGCACAAGAGCCCGTCATCAAAAAAACAAAACGCTCCGCTGCAGCTGTCGGATCAAATCAGAGACTTCCCGAGTGATGAGGAGAAAGTTTGGTAATGAGACCGGCCGAGGAAAGGAGAGAAACAAAGAGGAGTGTCACGCTGAAAGACTTCATGACACACCTTTTATTTTTACTATCTTCGACTAGTACTTGAACACACCATCCTGTTAGTCTGTTTGCTCCTTTTGAAGTTGGTTTTAAAACGTGTTTTGGAGGAGTTTCTATATGAAGCAATCGTCTGAGGACAGAGGACGCCGTGTGCTGTTCACACTGTACAGGCCCTGGAGGCAAATACAACTGACATGATTAAACTTCATAAACTGCAAAACATCAGATCCCTTAAACACTTGACAGCTGGAGGAGAGAGTTGGGGTCGACAAGCAGCAAAGGGCAGAGGTCAGAGTTGAAGTCATGGTCGCTGCATCATTAACTACAGCCTCTATACATCAGCAACATAACCGCGAGGCTATCCTGCATCCCTAAAGAAAAAGATTACCAACATTTTTTAAATATCAAGCTGTTTCTAAAAATGTTCCCTGTCCTGTTCCAGATCTTATAGTGATGTCACACTCTGTCGCTCACTTACACATAACCAGAAAACCCATCAGGCCTCCTCAAGTGTACACCTCAGGTGAGTGTAACCTGTGAGGGGCTCTCGTGAGGACTAACCAGCAGAAGTGTCTCGTGAGGGAGAGCAGTGTTTGGTTTGCTTAGCTGAGACAGAAATCTACACGACACCATGACGTGAGAGAGACACTCTCTCTCCTCCGGCTCTGTGACACCAAGTCGTTCAAAACCCACAGCACTGTTTGTCTGGCAGCTTTCCTGGTACATTACACCCACACTGACACACACACACACACACACACACACACACACACACACTGACACACACACGTCTCCCTGTGGGAATAAAGAGCGAACAGAAAAACAACACAGAGTTCAGTCTGAGCTGAGGATTCAGAATCGTGCTGTTAACCCTTCATACTCTACAAATCCACCAGTGCAAAGCCTTAAAGGTCACATATTCTCCTCCTCTTCAACCAGTTTAAATAAGTCTCAGAGCTCCTCAAAACATGTGTCTGAAGTTTCTTGTTCTAAATCCACTCTGAGCCTGTATTTGATCATGTCTATAAACCCCTCTATTTCAGCCCTGCTCAGAACAGGCTGTTTCTGTGTCTGTACCTTTAAATATGTAAATGAGCTGTGTCTGACACGCTCCCTCTCTGGAAGGGCTTGGGTGGCTCGGGACTACAAATAAATTGAAGTTATTTGAGGTTTTAGAAAGAGGCGTTTTCATTCTAATCACAGTAATGACGTAGAAGAACAGCCGATCAGTGTTAGACTACATTTAGAATCCGCCCAGTCTGAGACCGAGACAAGACTGAGTAAAAGTGCTTTAGATTCCTACACGAGACAGAGATCTTCAAGAAGTGGTCTGGAGACCGGTCTTAAGACCAAGACCAATTTCGAGTACTACAACATTAACCTGAAACTCCTTTTCCCCGTTTCAGGACGCACTCTGAGAACAGATAACAAACGCCACATATCCCTAAAAATCTTTACACTGTGAAGGTTATTTGGCTTCCTGCTATACTGCATGTCATACATCTAAAATGATAAAGTCCATGTCGTTGACCTCAGCTTTGTGCTGCAGAAGAAATAAGCTTCTGGTTATTGTAGTTTTTATTCTGGAACATGATCATGTGAAAAAAACGTCCTCAGTCATTTTTCATGTTTTACTGCATGTTAGGTCATGTGATGACATCATGAGGTAAGGTTTAACATAATGGTAAAACAAATGGGAATGTGAGCTCTCAGCCGCAATAAGAATGAAGTCTGTACGGAAGCCCAAAGTGGACATAAATCCATATACAGTATGAATTTTAAATCCATTTTCCCGAGATAAAAACTACATTTCAGTTGTTTTCCTCAATGTCCCGTCTCGTGTATTTCTGTTTCTTGGGATAATGAAGCTTAATTTGACACAGAAATGTACGAAATAGCCTGTTATCACAGAAAATAAGCTTAGAAAATAAGCTTAGAAAACAAAGGAGATTTTCCTCGTTATCACGTGAAAAAAAATTAAAATAAAATGTGTGGATGTTTGCTCTCTTAGGGCTTCCGTACCGACCTGAACTTGATCACATTTTAAAGTTCATTAAACACTCAAAAAGCTTAATAAAAGTGAAAGATTAATTAAATACCTCAGAATGAAATGAGCCTGTAGTGCGTCACAGGTTAATCAAATCTGCGCTCACTAAACAAGCCTGTGCAGAACGTTCTCCTCACTTCATCAGTCTGGTCCACTTGTTGAGCATGCAGCTCTAATTACAGGTATTACTCAGGTATTCTCAAACTGTTTCAAATACCACAAATGTCTCCTCACTGGCAGCAGCAGCAGCAGCAGCAGCAGCAGCGCTCACACACACACACAACAGGACTATTGTTCCAGGGCTTATCGGCACATTTGCAAAGTGAATATGAGCGGCTTCCTCCTGTAAGACCTGCTTATCAGGAAAGATGCAAAGTCAATGTCAAATGTCCGCTGCCGTGAGATGACTAACCGTGTTCCCTTCGGCACTCTGAGCATCTCGTTCTGTCTCTCTGTGTGTGTTTCTTATGAATGAGGAACGTCTTCTTACAGCTACTGATCGTCAGTCAGGGATATTTTGTTTCAGTTCAGGAAAACTAAAAGCATTAGGCCCTTAAATGTTTCTATTCAAAGTCCAAACTCCAAAACAACAGGGTCCTACGTTTCCCATAATGCAATTCAAAAAAGAATATTTCAACGGACCTTCCCTGACAGGTTTGTACTTAAAAACCGGTTTGCTGTGCAGGATTGTAAGTTTTTTCTTACATACCAAGATGTATGAGGTCAGAGTTGATTAAATAGTTATACTACCACAGAAAATATAATAATACCGTTTACACACAGCAATAATTAAGGTCAGTCCAATCCTTTTGTGTGTGAAAGTCGAGCAGCAACCTCCGGTGTTTAAAAATGAAGCTGAAGTGCAAAATCCTGCAGTTCCTGGAGTGTCCACTAGAGGCTGGCTGCAGAAGCACAGGAAGTCACATACACACCCATTCTAAAAAGCCTGTTTTTACAGCAGAGTTCCCTTCATCACATTTCAAGACCAACTGGCACAAACGATCTGAACTAAGAAATAACCAACAGATACTCAAACTAATATTCAAATGGAAGTCAATGTCTTATTTTTCAGAAATACAGTTTGATTCATTTTTGCTAAACTTTTATATTCTATAAATCAGACTCTATATGCACAGGGACTCTTATGTATGTGTGCATATGACAATACATAACCAATTCTTGGCAATGTGTACAGTACAGTGTTTAAATTCTGCGTGACATTCAATCTAAAAGAAGTTGCTGATAGGTGCCGAGCGTTTCTGACTTCTGCAGATTTCTGTGTTCAGACTGAGTACGAGACTTGAGTTCATGCACACGTGTACGGCCTTAGATAACTAAACTGAAAGCAACAAATTCTGAGTCTTATCCGCTGAACGAGAGTTGTTGTGACAGTGATGAACGACGGCTCACTCAAGTCAATCGGCAGCTTTTCTCTGTTAATTATTAGAAGTCCAGAACTGTTGTTAAAGGAGAGGCGACTAAAACAGGAGAGCACAAAAGCAGTGAAAGGGTTAATGAGAGGCTGCTGAAGTGTGTGTGTGTGTGTGTGTGTGTGTGTGTGTGTGTGTGTGTGTGTGTGTGTGTGTGTGTGTGTGTGTGTGTGTGTGTGTGTGTGTGTGTGTGTGTGTGTGTGTGTGTCATTTACCTGTACGACCCAGCGATGACCTCTTCACAGTCGATGATCATGAACTTCTCCAGGACCTGCCCGGTGAACTTCTTGCCGCTCTTGGTGCAGTACGTGTCCCCACACACACTGCGGACGCGAATGTTCTGCACACAAACACAAACACACACACACACATCTTTGAAAAAACAGAATTGGACAAACACACACACTCACACACACCGCTGGCTGCATTTTGATATTTTTTAAAACCGGGGAATTTTTTTTTGATCTTAGGATCTAAAGGATTCAAAAGTCCAAACTGTTGAGGTGGCTTTTAAAGGTGTCTCTCTGTCTTTAAAGAGGACATATTCTCCCCCTCTCCACCTTTTCAAACAGCCCCCTGTGGTCTAAATGAAACATCTGTGCTGTGCTTTGGTCAAAATATAACATGAATCAAGCACCAGAGGAGGTTTGTGACCCTGAATAAACCAGCTCTCTCAGAACGCTCCGTTTTGGTGTGTGTGTCTCTTTAAATACAACGACCCCCCCCTGAGTTTTCCCCGTAGACATCACTCCTCTGTAGTGAGAATAAAAATGGCCGACCTGCACAAAAGTTTTGTTCTAGTCTGGGGGTGGAGTCCATGGGTGGAGATACCAGGGGAGGGGAGGGTATTTTTTTTTTTACCAGAATCCCACTGTGACATCACAAGGAGAGCACATTAGAAACGGAGCATTTTTCTCTGTTGTAAGACTTATGCAGACCACAAACAAAGGACTGGATGGATTTATTTCACATGTTGTGGGTCAGTAGACTCTCAGGTTACACAGATACATGTTCATAAACACTGTAGAAGTGGATTTTTCAGAATATGTCCCCTTTAAGTCCATGATGAGTAAAATAAGGGTGCTGTGGCGGTGACTCATGGTTAAAGGAGCGGCTGTAAAAACAGTTGACTCTCGACAGCGTCATCGAGAAGTGTAGCTCTGCTAAAGCTGCGTTCGTTCCGACTATAAACCCATTCTATTTCCAACAAGTTCTTCACAATAAAAGTTCCCAGCCTATCTGTATTTGTAGTGCTTTTATTGTGAAACATTCCTCTCTGCTCTGTTATAAACTATAAACTGAATGTTGAATCTTTTTCCTCTCACATCGGAGACTTTCCGTGAGATCTTTGAGATAATGGAGACAGTGTTTGTTGCTTTATACTCAGAGCAGAGCACACACCTCGACGCTACAACATCATGTTTACATTGAGTCAGTGCTGGAACGCCTGTTCACCCTGTTCACATCACACACTCACAGACACTACAGCGACTCCTTTGGCACTCCACTGTGACTTCTAGAAGCCGAGTGTCGAGATGGTTAAACTGCTGAGGTTGCAAAGTACTCGGTTATGCAACACACACTTTCAGTTCAAACTCATGTTAGCTAACAGGCTAGCTAAAAGTAGCTTTGTTCTGTTCGCACTGTCAGTGCAGGTACATTCAAACAGGCAGGAGGTGCTGATAGCAGAGGGACTTTCATGCTGCATGATATGGGCTGTGATAGGCCACACTCAAATGTTTAACGCTATGATTCTCTGCCTGATGAAATTGCTTTCATTAAAAGCAGAAGTGCTCAAACGGAGCGATTTGAATTTTCTCGTTTTAATGCGTACCAGCCGTGATTGATTCTTTATGTCAACACGCTCACATTAACAATGCGACCATGCTGCCGTCTCTCAGGTGGAGGATTTCTCAAAGTTGTTCAGCCCCTATATTTGACATGTTAGCAAGCTTCCATTAGGGATGCACCAATCTGATATGGTGACACTGGGCTGATCTGAGGGACCGATCCGAGAGGCTGATCTATTAAATTCAGTTCTATCCTATTCTGTGTTTACGACAAGTACGTGCAAATACTACGTCAGTGTCATCAGTGCACAGGTTTGGGCATTTTGCTAGGCAGAGCTGACATATCATGAAAAGTGCTCACAGCAGAGGATGAGCAGTTTGGATGGATTTCACGTCCCGACACAATGAAGCGAAGCAGTTAGCTCTGCCGGCTGCATCGCAGAGATCCAAGAAACTTCCCAGCGACAAAACACTTTGAAACACGCACATGTTTGCCATCACATAAATATTTTTCTGAGAGCGTTCAGTCTGACCTCTACATGAACATATGAGGACACGTATCAGCAGAGTTGCATGAGTGCGCCCTGAAAGGAATTACATTTTTAAGGTTAATAATAGCAACATGAAGAAGAAGCCGTGGAACAATAAGGGAGCGCACGGCTTAGTCCGCTCTGCACATTTCATGCACAATGAGGTTATATGTATTTTTATATTTAATGTTGTTTGATTTTATTAAGCCAGAAAACAAAGAGATCTGTTCTGCCTCTGTACGTCTGGACGTTCTCTCACTGTGAGTGTCTCTGTCAGAAATGTAAGACATGACGTGTCTGTGTCAGCTACAGTCCGCTGTGTGACTTACACTCAGGTGTGAGTTCTGAATGTCCAGAGCTGAACACATGTCCGTGAAGTAGTCGAGGTTTTTGTCGTCCAGCAGGATGTAGACGGGGACTCTGCGCTTGTTGGACGCCTCCATCAGATCACACAGCAGGTCTACGTCCGTGAACACGTCCATCACCACGGCGATCACCTGAAGCAGCAGGGAGACACGGGAGACGTTAGCATGCAGCAGAGTCACATCAACATTTCATGAGTGCGGGGGCCTCTTCATGGCTCGGACACTGTGAGGGTTACACGTTCTGATCGAAAGAGGCTTCAGCAGAATTTTACACTTTGATGTGATAAAAATCTCATGATATCCATATCTGTTCTGTATGACGGAGGATTAGGGCCACGTTATTATTATTATATATTTTTTAATTTAAAGATTAACGAGTTCGAGACCAGCCTGCGCGAAAATGATGAAAGTAGAACTCTCAAAGTCTTCAAAGAATAAAGTGGTTATTTTATTCTATATCAGAAGAGCAGCAGAATCCTGTTGGAGCATGTTGTCCTAAAGGATTCACTAATAAGGAAATAGGATACTTCCTTGTGTAGTCGGTAAAAACAGTTCAAGAGAAGTTTTCACTTCAACTTGTAAGACCTTGTTTATCTGTAAAATGATGAACAGGACACAAACTGTCTGTGAGACACTTTAACAAGGCAGACCGATAACAGACACAAATAGTTGTGTTGTTTACTTATGCAGATATGAAACTACACATGCACATCATCATCTTCACATTGTCTTTAAAATATCAGCACCCTGAAAAGATACTGAAGAAACTGAAGAAAGAAGCACACTGACTGGGAGGAAGTTGTCTGCAGAGGAAAATACTTTAAGAGTTCTACTTTCATCATTTTCGCGCAGGCTGGACTCGAACTCGTTCATTTACGAGATTATTCTCGTAAATTTACGAATTTGATCTCGAAATTAAAAAAAAACAAACAAAAAAAATGTACGTGGCCCTAACCCTCCGTCGTAGTTCTGATACCATGGCAACAAGAAAAAATTAATCCTAGGCATCTAATATTGGGAAAAGTATTGTTTTTTATTTCTAAAAATGGTGAGCACACTTGCCACAGTTGAGTTTGCTAAATGTATTTCCAACATATTTGTGTTTTCAACCAGTCAAGGCCAAAACATCACAAGTCACATGCACAATGACAACACACACGTTTACACACTTAACGGTGGAGGTTCTTACTGGCACACCAGTTTGGCAGCCTAGCGATTACCACCCTTGTCCTCTTCTGACGGTTAGATTGTCAGTTGGATCTACATGTCACAGTGTCCTTGGGCACGACAAAGTGCTCTCGAAGGCGGAGCCAATCGACATTACTACCACATGATCTCTCTGCCCCCCCCCCCAGGATCTGATAAATAAGGAACTTTTTCAGCTGTTAATCCCAGATTTTAAATCTGTATCCGGCTGTGGATGTGACTTTTGTAAACTTTGATGTCAGATAAAATAAAGTTATTCTTTGTATCGTTATTCAATCAGCCTGATGTGACACGGACTCTTTCCAGGACTTTAACTCTACACTAAGGTCGTCTTATTTGACAAATACTGGCGGTTCCTCCATATGGCACGTGTTATGTAACGTTAACGTTCACACACACACACACACCAGGAATGGCTCTGACACACGGCCCTCTGTGCAAACACACACATGTTCAGACATGTTCCTACCCACACACACACCGGGAGACATGCCTTCAAATGAATAACACACATAATCAAAACAACAACGAAAACATTAGAGTGAACTTTTCTGTTTCCTTCATGAAGGTTAAAGAAAGAAAGAAAATGTTCAGGCAACATCTGCAGGAAGCTTCAGTGTCCAGCTAACTGTACGTAACCAATCAAAGAGGGTCTAACAGCAGCTCTTTATCCTCTCCATCTACTGACTGATGAACTACATTCACTGTGTCATTGGATCTGAAACCTGCTGAATCAGCAAAAAACACGTGAGAAAGAGGTCAGTGTAATGGCATTGTAGAGAGAATACAACATTGTAATTGGATATTAGAGAGCGTTTCAGGCAGGGACGGAGCAGGTTGGAGTTTTCTCAGTTTTCTTCTTTTTTTTTTTAGCAGCAGACTCAGCCGTCATGCATTTAAAACGAGTCTATTTACACGTCGAGAGAGAGAGAGAGAGAGAGAGAACAAGGAAGTGTCTGTGGAGGGTGACTCACGCAGCGCGTGCTCCGCTGTCTGCCAACAACACGGCGGCTCTCAATGAGCTGTGATGTGGTCGGCGAGGAGATCATGAGATAAATTGCCAACACTCTTTAGAATCACTCAGAATTTAAAGTCACACTTACACAAGTAGGTCCAATCAGTGAGCTGTGTAGAGAGTGAGATGATAAAGGTATCTTACTCTCTGATCATTAAGGAAACATGCTATGTTGAAGTGCTGGCTTCTCTGACAACAATGCAGCAGCCAGTATGTCCTCCTTCTAACTTTAGATTCTGATCCTGAATGCTCTGGATTTGTTTGGACCAGAGAAG